GACGCCAGAACGAGCAGCCATCGAAGATGAAAGGGGTCACGAACGTTCAAGGGGGCCAAGCGCGGGTGCCGAACCCGCCGCCTCGGAGAGACCTCTCGCCCCCCGTCCCGGAGGAGGGAGAGGGGAAGGCAAGGGGGGGGAGGGGGGGGGAGGGCGCGAGGGAGGGGCAGGAGGGAACGGGCAGCAGCAGGCAGCAGCAGGCCCCATCGACAGCTCTCACTGCGCAGAGGGCTCACGGCCCGTCGCGCCACTGCCCTGGCCGAGCCCCGTGAGCAAATCGGACACGGGCCCCCCGGACTCCCCGACCAAGGTGAATGAAGGGAGCGAGAAGGATGGACGAAGTAGACGGCGATGACAAAGAAGGCAAAGACAACGACGATGACGATGACGATGTAGATGCACTGCGAATCAAAGATGTTCATAATCGTATTGCTGGTGCCGGGCCGCTGCTCGATGCTGGTCGGGCGCGCGGCCTCGCCCGCGGCGCGGCCGGAGAGTGAGAAATGGAAGCGGCGCAGGCCGGACCTCGGAAGACGAAGCGGAGGTGCGCGGGCCCAGCCCCCGCGCGGAAGAACAGGGAGGCGCGTGCCCTGCCCTGCGACGAATTGGGGGTGCCTGAAAGCCCCGCCCCAGAAAGGAAACCGAGGAGGCGCCGGCCCAGCCCCGGAAACGGCCACGGGGAAGCTGCGAACAGCCCTGCCCCACAAAGATGACAACCCGCGCGGGCGGTCACCGGCCCCACAGGCGGGGATCGAAATGCCACTGCGTCAGCGCGTCCGGCTGAGGGCCAGAGCCGAGTGCTGCGCGGCGCGCGGGTGCTGAGGGGAGGAGGGAGCCAACTGAAGATTCAGAGAGACACCAGCAGATATTCGGGCTCCTCGCCAGCGCGCTCGCATCGCCTAGCGACGTGGCGCCGTGCTACGACGCGCCCTTCACGCGACAGAAAAGCAGATAGAGCGCGAAGGTACCGCGGCGAACTTCGAGTGTATGCTGGTTCACGCTATTTTTGCTGGTAACAGCCTCACCCACGTGGGTGGCGATGCACCGTGCAACGTCGTCTTCGGCAGGCAGCGATGCATGCTGCCGCCGTTGGGAGCAGACGAAGAGGGTGAGGTACCCGATGCCTGTGGCACCAGTGCCGGCACTTCTGCTGGCGGAGAAGTGCAGCCCAGCCGACTGCAGTAGGGCATCCGAGAGATCGTAGTGCAACGCGTGATCGAGGCCACATCGATCTCACGCGTCAGCCGCGCCCTCCAGGCCCGCGCCACCGAGTCCAGGGAGGGCAGCTGCAATGCTGGCGACCAGGTGGAGACCCAGAGGCCCCCGAGCACGCGGGGCGCGTCGGGCTGGGCGGGCCCTGGAGCGGTCATGTCTGTAGACCCAGCTCGAGGCAAGGTGGGGGTCAAGCGCCGCCGAGCCGACATGTTATGCAGACTGCCAGACGTCCGGCCCTTCATCGGCGCCGTCTTCGACGACATGGGCAGCGGAGTTGCGCGTGCAGGCTTGGCCTGGGGCCCCGAGGAGGATTGCCTGGAGCACGTCGCGCCGGGCTCAGGGGCCAGGACCTCCGGCCACTGGGAGGGCGCGAAGGGCGTGAAGCTCGCCGAGCAGACACGGCAACGCCCGGGCATCCTCGAGGCCCTGCGCCATCTGTCCCGCGGATGCTTTCAGCTGTCAGACATTCGCGTAGTGCGTCTCATGCGCGGCCGGGAATCAGTGGGCGACTGGCTGGGCCGCGTCCGCAGCTGGACTATATGCTGGTTCCGTCGGGGCCCGACCGACGTCCAGCGAGTGCATCTCCACGGCGTCAAATTCGACGCCCATCAGCTCATCGGCGAGTACTTGAGGGAAGCTCGCGCCATTCAGTTCATCTTGGGTGACGAGCCGTTGCTGGCAGGAGACGTGGGACAAGGCGTGGGCGGATCGATCGATAGCCGTGTTATCGGCGTTCCCGAAGACGCCGCCAGCGTCGCCGAGGGAGGTTCACCATCAGCCCCGTCGGCTGTGCCCGAGGAGACCGGCAGCGAATTCTTTGGCAACGTCCAGCAGGTGACGTCGGCAGCCTGGCGCGAAGTCGAGGGGGCAGAAGACCTGGCCCAGGAGCTCGAGGAGCTGGAGAACACCGACAGCCAGCAACACATGCGCTGCTGTCGAGCACGCCGCGGATGGCCTTGGCCGCAGGCCCCGCGGGTGGCCCCAGCACCTCGAGACGCTGCGCCAGCGTCGCGCGCAGTGCCACCACTACCAGCTCGGGGCTTCCTTGGGCGACTGCGCCGCGCTCGAGGAGGGAGAAGACGAAGGGGAAGGCATGTGGAGTTGTATCTTGATCCAGAGGTGTGTGAAGTGTTCTTGAGCTTCAACGAGGCAGCGCGCGGGGACTGTTTCGCTAGCGCTCCCCCCATTGCCGTGCTCAACGTTTATGCCGCCGTCGAGTTCGTGGTCATTAAGCGCGGCGCCGACCTCCTGTCCAACGTGGAGGTGTCGAGGCTGTCGTTGCAGGAGGTCGCAGCGGCCGTCCTCGATTCGGGGGCGGCGGCTGCGACCCATCTGGGTCAAGTGCAAATTTTTCGAGAGGGGCTCCGGACATGTCTTAAAATTGAAGCGCTGGAAGGCGATCAGACGGCAAGACTGTCCGGATCATCCGGCGCCGCGTGGCGCTGAGGGGCTTCCGCGACATGGGCGCTGGAGCTCTGGAAGCGTTCGCTGGGGCAGCGAAGCGGGCGTCGTGGCGCATGCTGTCCTCGGAGGCGGCGCGTCGCCCAGGCTGGGTGTGCGTCGCAGTGGGCGTCGATGAGGCGTTCCTGGATGGCGTGACTTACGCCGCGATGCAGGAACAAGTTGAAGCACCACCGAGGCGAACTTCGCCCTGCCGCCAGGCAGCGCAGCCATCCTCGGGCAGGTGCCTGGTTGCGAGAGCTTCGACGAGCGCGCCGAGTACCGGCGCTGCGTCGAGCTGGGAGCGGGCTGCAAGGATGCGCCCCGAGCTTCCTCCGTGGAATTTGCCAGAGTCACGCGCTCCCTGGCGCGCAGCGCCAGACCCGCCAGGTGGGGCCCAGAGCTCGGGGCCAAGCATGAGACACATGGTGCCTGTGGCACCGGCGGCTCAGAGCTAGTGCTCATGTTGCCCAGGCATATTGACGATCTGAAGATCGCTGGACACGGGGGGCACGTCGACTGGCTAGCCGGCCATATCGAGAGCGTCTTCGGCAATGTGAGGGGTGGCTGTGACGATTTCACCGACTGCAGTGTGCACCTGCGCCGCAGCGCCGATGGTGCAGTGACGTTCGACCAGGGCGAAGGGCCGACGAGCCGGCCGGAGATCAGCTTCCAGACCCCTTTGTCTCCCTCGTGGGAGCAGCGGCCCACGCCCTGGTCGCCCAGCGCCATGTCTCAGCGTGCAGCGTCGCCTTGCAGAGGGGCAGGAACAAGCTGCTCATCCGTTGCGTGATGCAGCTTACCTCAATCGTTCTGGCCATGCAGGAGATGAAGGCACGCATCGCATTTTCTCCGAAGAATGTGCCGGGCGACTCTGCGTGCACAGCGACGGGTCGTTCAAGAGGGAGGAGGAGACAGGATGCGGCATGAGAGTTGCCGCATGCATGCGTGTCGGCAAGTGCCGCCGCGCAGGCAGCGGGCGTCAAACTTGCTGGACGCAGTGAGCCGATCGCACGCGCTGGTGTGCAGATCCTCGTTCGGCTCAGAGTTGCTCGCAGCATGCGGCGCAGCCGACGGACTTCGGGCGCGCCTCCTCGCGCTGCGCGAACTGGTGCGCGGGCCCACTTCTGCCGAGGAGATCAGCAAGTCGAGGGGGGAAGGAGTTTGCGCCATTCCTGCAGATGTCGTCATCGACGGCATGTCCGTCTTTTGCGCACTGCTCGTGGATCCAGTGCGGTTGCCTTCCGAGAAAGCATGGCTGGTCACTGGTGGTGGTTGGCTGACCAGCTCCGCACTCAGCAAATCGAGGACCTGCTTTGGTGTGACACTCGTGACATGCGGCCCGTCGCCGTGACGAAGGGCAGCACTCGCCAGGGGCTCATCCTCAATGTAATGGACGGCCAAAGCAGATATGACCACGACGCGATCATGTTCAGCAGCGAGAGAAAGACCGCCCCGTGCTCCCAGCACAGTTCTCTCGCTCAAGAAGAATATAATGACCAAGTGTAGCTGTGCCACAAGATCGCCAAGTTTCGCGGGCACTTGCGGCCAGGGCTTGTGTGGAATCAGGCATGCACGTAAAAGCTGCTCCCGCTGACTGTGTCAATGGAGTGGCAGCATCTATCTAGGTCGTGCTCCACCAATATCATCGTGCGCACCCTTTGCAAGCAGGTTTTTGCTATCGAAGAGGTGCGGGCAGTAGATCATCTCTTTGCAAGTGTCCAACTTTACGGAAGGCGCGACGGACTTGTTTGAGCGCCAGATTCGAACGGGGTTCATCTTGCCTTTCCCCCCCTGCCTTGCCTGCGCCACCCGCTGCTGTTTAGGCTGCAGCCTCGCGCGCCCGCTCTTTGTTTGCTTCGCGCACCCCCTTCGCATCCACTATCCTAAAAGTGCCGCGCTGTTCATCTTCTAAATCCCATTTTCTGCTTCCTTCGTTCTCTATCGTTTTTTGTTCACCTTTCCGCCTCCGTTCTCCTTTCATCCTCCGTCCTCTGGCGCCGTCGTAGCCTGGTCCTTTCCACGCGTCCCGGCAGTGCAGAGAATATTGTGGTGACCCTTGGGTTTCACGGGCGACGGCGTGCAATTTGTGCGCGCGTGTGACACTTTCGCGTTCGGCAGCTCGTGTACAGTACAGACGCTGGATGACGGACCACTTTGGAATTCGGTGGGGCTTTGGTATTCGTCCGTTCTTGAGATCTACGTCGGGGAACCTCTTCCTGACCGAAGCTTACCGTGGTCAGAACACCCCCCCGTCGTTCCGTATGTATCGTTCCGTATGGTGGCAATCTGATAGTATGAGCCTTGCTGGAAAGAACAGGTAATCTATGGGTCACCCATGTAAGCTGCAGTGCAGGCATCAGCGCGTGCGAGAAGGGCGGGCAGTGGAAGATGGCGTGTTCATTGTTTGGCGAAATGCTGGATAGTAGGGTCGAACCAGATAACATTAGCTTCAACGCTGTGATCAGCGCCTGCGAGAAAGCTCACCAGTGGCAGCTGGCACTCCACCTGCTGAGAGGGATCGGGCAAGCGAAGCTGGAACGCGAGGTCATCTGCTATAACGCGGGAATCAGCTCCTGCGAGAAAGCTGGGCAGTGGCAGCGGGCATTGTCGCTGCTCAATGAGATGGTTGAGGTGAGGATGGACCCGGATGTCATCGCTTCTGCATTGCCGCACCCCTCGCCCCCGAGACAGGAGGTCACCAGCAAAGGTCTCCCTGAGACTCGGCCAAGAGTAGGGTCCTGGGGCGCTCTCTCCAGACCTCATCTTTCTTACACGGAGCCCTTCAGATCTCAGCATCGTCTAAACCGAGCCCGATCCCCACCGGGCCATGGTGTCCCAGCTCCGCCAGCCCACGCCCCCAGGTGGGGACAGGTCCCGCCCAAACCCGAGGGGAGCATCATACATTTCCACCTATCGGGTGGACAGTCGGCGGGCGGGGCCAAGGCCATGCCAGCGTGGCTGGGAAGGGGCTCGGTGGTGCTCAGGACTGCAGCGGGAGCTCCCAGATCCAGACGTCGGATTTTTTTTTTTTTTTTTTTTTTTTTTTGTTTTTTTTTTTTCCAACACGCGGCCCCAGAAGTCCCGACCCCCTTCTTGGGGCCAGTTTCTCGCTCCGGTGACGGCTCCTGGATGTCCGGTGTCGACGACAAGTCGCCGCTTGGGAAATCGTGCGCTCGGAGGTCCCGGGACGCTCCGGGGACAGCTCCCCGACGGCCCTGGAGATGCCTTCCGCGGCGGGGCGGCCCTGGCCTCAGGCCGAGGCAGAGCGCAGGCGCGCCCTCGTGTTGTGGATGTCCCAACCGTGGTTGCAGCGACGTCGGTGGCGACGGGTGCTACGGAGCGGGGGAAACGGATGTATCCCGACGAGTTTGGCGTTGGGTTCGGCAATGGAGGAGTTGGGCTGGCCCATGGAACCACTCACTTGCGCTTCACGTGGAGTGCAAGGGGCTTCTGCATCAAATCGAAAACCAGCAGATCGCACGAGTGGACTGCAGTCCACGGGTCCGCCCTGGTCAGCTTCAACACCGGAATCAGCGCGTGCGAGAGGGCCGGGCGGTGTGAGCAGGCGCTGTCCATGCTCGGGGAGATGCGCCTGGCGAAACTGAACCCAGATTTCGATGGCTACAGAATTCTAACCAGCATGTACGAGCAAGGCGGACAATGGAAGCGGGTGCTGTCGCTGTTCAAGGAGATGCGCGATTTAGTTGCAGAGGGATGATGCAACCGTTGCGTGCAAGGAATGTAGAGAGGATGCAGTCAACTCGAAGAACATATCTTGTTGGAGCTGCGTCTGATGGAAAATACTGCGTGCGTGTCAGAAGTGGCGAAAGCATTAGTTTTGCCATAACCCTGTGACACTTCGAGCTTTCATAATCCACACGCGAGGTGAACTTGATGGGCGTCCCGCTTTTTCAATCATGCTCACATGCGTTTGAGTTAAGCCCAGCTTCTGGCTATGATGCGCACGCCGAGGTACGGCCATTGATTATCTTGGGCCTGGCGCTGCAATGTGCGTGGCGCATCGTCTGGGCCCACTTGGAAACTAGCGCCTTCGTGCGCCTGTCGCGCACTGGGGTACAGCACACATTTGACTTGAAACTGGTTTCATAGCATGTCTCCTGAATGGAAGTGATCCGGAGTTCACCCGCCGCTTCCTTGCGCGAGAGAAGCATCCCCAAACGCGAAATGATCACACTACGTGCAGTTCGCCCCCCTTTGGAACCACTTCCGCAGAGGAATCCATGGGCCAGCTCTAGTGAGCTATAGTGCTGGAATCAGCGCCTGCGAGAAAGGGCGGCAGTGGCAGCAGGCGATGTTGCTACTCAGGGAAATGGTCGGAGCAGAAGTGGAGCCGAGCATCATCGGCTACAATGCTGGAATCAGTGCGTGTCAGAAGGGGGCACAGTGGCAGCAGGCGCTGTCGCTGCTGAGGGAGGCCGTGGAGAGCGAGCTGGAGCCCGATGGCACCCCGTCTGCAGCACCCGACCCCGCGGGTGCGAGGGCGAGGTCTTCAGCTCAGGCCCCTCACGGAAGGTCTTCTGCGCTTAGGGTTCCGGTTTTCATACATGCTCCGCGTGCGGATCATGTATTACAAATGCAGGGATTAGCTATTCAAAACAACGATGAGTTCATGCATGAATTTAGTCATACATTAGTCATGTATTAAAAATCCAATGTTTTAAAACATCTTATGTATCAAAAACTGCCCTGTAGGGACGGGCCCCCGACGTCGGCACATCGCCGGACTCCGTGCCCGCCCAGGCGTGGCGTGCCTGGCGTGGCTCGTGTTTTTTGCGTCTCGCGGCGGGCCCGTGCGCGCCGTGCGCGGCGTGCCGCCGTGCGGCGCCTGCCGTGCCGCGCCTGCCGTGCACGGCGCCTGCGGTGCCGTGCGTGCTGCGCCGCGGGTGCTGCGCCGCGAGTGCCATGCTGTGCATGCCACGCTGCGTTTGTCTCGACGTGAGTGCCCTGTATAGCATGCCGTGCACGGTGTGCCGTGCGTGCTGTGGCGCGTGACGTGCGCGCCGTGGCGACCGTGATGATGACGATGATGATGATGATGATGATGATGATGATGATGATGATGATGATGATGATGATGATGATGATGATGATGATGATGATGATGATGATGATGATTCTCACCGTCAACATGTCAAACAGCGTGGACCCCGAGCCGTGAGTTAGTGCATCGTGGTGGTGAATCATGTGTTGTAAGGGCTGTGTGGTGTAAGCTATGTTGTGGAAGCTTCGCGGTGTGGGCTGTATGGTGCAAGTTATGTTGTGTAAGCTATGTGGTGTAGGCTATTCTGGCAAAGCTATGTGGTGTGAGTTGTGTGGTGGGAGCTGTGCTGTGCTGTAGCAGATGTTGTGTAAGCTGTGTGGTGTGAGCTATGTTGTGTAACGCATCCAGCTGCCTGCGACAAATCACGCCACCGTGCCTGTGCAACTGTGCAGCAGGAAGGAGGCTGACTGTAGGAATAGCGCAATCGGACGAGCGGTCCGAACTAGAACGGGTCGTCAATTCCACTTCGCCATCGTCCGCGCGGTAAGAAGGAGGTCGAGTTCACGCCTCGCGCGGCAGTTCGCCCCCGTGTGCCAATACGAATGTGTATCTTCTTCCCGGCCCGACGCGTGTGGGGCCATTTGGGCCCAGGCGCCTGGCCGCTTCTGAACAGCGGTGGGGCGCTGCCGCTGGCCCCTGGGCCCGCGCCCTCGAGGCCGCGCCCGCGGCGGCACGAGGAGCCCGCCCTCCCCGGCGCCCGCTGTGCCGTCGCACATCGGGAGCCTTGAGACGGGGGCCGCTGCAAACGGGGGTCAGCCAGAGCGCCCGATCCTGCAGGATCCTGCACGGCCAGGCTCGCATCGACCCGGGCTTGGGTGCCAGATCCTGCGGGATCCCTCGCACTGACCCGGGTCTGGGCGCAGGACCTTGCAGGCCTTTGCAGGATCCTGCAAGGCCCGGCTGACCCAGGTCTGCATTGACCCGGGTCAGCGGATCCCCGAGCACAGGAGGAGGGGGGCCGAGGGGGGGCCGAGGGGCCCGAGGAGGAGGACGAGCAGGAGGAGGAGGAGGAGGAGGAGGAGGAGGAGGAGGAGGAGGAGGAGGAGGAGGAGGAGGAGGAGGAGGAGGAGAGGAGGAGGAGGCGGAGGCGGAGGCGGAGGAGGAGGAGGAGGAGGAGGAGGAGGAGGAGGAGGAGGAGGAGGAGGAGGAGGGATGGCGAGGAGGGGATGCGGAGGCGGAGGCGGAGGCGGCGGAGGAGAGGAGGAGGAGGAGGAGGAGGGGAGAGGAGAAGGAGAGGAGGAAGGAGGAGGAGGAGGAGGAGGGGAGGAGGAGGAGGAGGCGGAGAGGAGGAGGAGGAGGAGGAGGAGGAGGAGGAGGAGGAGGAGGAGGAGGAGGAGGGGAGGGGGAGGGGGAGGGGGAGGAGGATGAGGAGGAGGCCCACAGAGGGGGGCCGAGGCGGAGGACTGCGGACGAGGGCCGCGGGCGTGCGGCAGCGGCGGGCCCGCGGGGGCCCCGGCAAAGCGCCCTCCCGGCCTCCTCTGGCGCTCGCTCCGCGGGGCGGGGCCCGTGGAGGCGCGCGCCCGGCGCCCGCGGTCGCAGGCCCACTCCTCTCGGGAGGAGAATTGCGTCGGGCCTGTCCCAGGGACGCGCCCGGGGTCGACCAGGGACGACCAGGGGCGACTAGCGATTCTCGGGGTCGACCAGGGACGCGCCCCTCGATTTTGCCACTGGGAGACCTCCGATCCTCCGTGCCTGCTGTGCGACGTCTGCTGCGTGCGGCCGGTTTCGGCTTCGGCCCCGCCGCCGCGGCTCCCCGATGATTAAGTCGGGCCTGTCCCCCTACAGGGGGATTTTCGACGAAAAAAATATCCCGGCAAAGCAACCTAACAGCGATGTGTAGGAGCATATCTGGAAGATTTCCCCTTAAGATTCAGATGAGAATCCAGTTGTAGAATTCTGCTGTTCTCGCAGTCGTAGTTGCATTCGCGATGACAGTCGCAGTGGCAACGGCAGTCGCAGTCACAGCCTCAGCCTCAGCCTGCCTCAGCCTCAGCCTCAGCCTGCCTCAGCCTCAGCCTGCCTCAGCCTCAGCCTCAGCCTGCTTCAGCCTCAGCCTCAGTCTGCCTTCAGCCTCGGCCTCAGCCTCAGCCTGCCTCAGCCTCAGCCTGCATCAGCCTCAGCCTCAGCCTCAGCCTGCCTCAGCATCAGCCTGCCTCAGCCTCAGCCTCAGCCTGCCTCAGCCTCAGCCTCAGTCTGCTTCAGCCTCAGCCTCAGTCTGCCTTCAGCCTCGGCCTCAGCCTCAGCCTGCCTCAGCCTCAGCCTGCCTCGGCCGCAGCATCAGCCTGCCTCAGCAGTCAAAATGTGGCCCAGGAATGGAGTTCTGGGAACTAGAAGAACACGAAGTGGCCTACAGTTGGCTCCGGGCATTCAAAATCATGCCCAGGAATGGAGTTCTGGGAACTGGAAGAGCACGAAGTGGCCTACAGTTGGCTCCGGGCATTCAAAATGTGGCCCGGGAATGGAGTTCTGGGAACTCGAAGAGCACGAAGTGGCCTACAGTTGGCTCCGGGCATCCAAAATGTGGCCCGGGAATGGAGTTCTGGGAACTCGAAGAGCACGAAGTGGCCTACAGTTGGCTCCGGGCATCCAAAATGTGGCCCGGGAATGGAGTTCTGGGAACTCGAAGACCACGAAGTGGCCTACAGTTGGCTCCGGGCATCCAAAATGTACGCCGGGAATGGAGTTCTGGGAACTCGAAGACCACGAAGTGGCCTACAGTTGGCTCCGGGCATCCAAAATGTACGCCGGGAATGGAGTTCTAGCAGCGCCAAGAGCGATTTTGCAAGGATGTCCCAGGCGATTTGGGCTTCGACGGCAGCCGCCTCGGGTCCCGCCCCGACCCCCCTGAGGAGTCATGATGCTCTCTTTTGAGACCACTAGAAACCTATTAGCAAAAGCTGTTAGGTAAAAACCCAAATAGTCAAAACAAATAATAAAAAAATAGTCTGGGGATTATTTGTCGAGGATTTTTTGGCATTTTTTTTTTTTTTTTTTTTTTTTTTTGTTTTTTTTTCTCGGTTTTTTGTATACACATTTTTCGTCGAACATCCCCCTGTAGGGGGACACGCCCGACATAAAATTAGTCGTCGACTCCCAGGAAAATGTGCGAAAATAGGGGAAGGGGGGGCGAGGGCAGAAACCCAGAATATATATGGGAAGATGTGGGGCATCTGGTGATCTGTGTCCATTCGTTGGTGCGCCCCAGGGCCCCTTGATCCTCGGCCCCCCCCCCTTTTCCGGGCCCGCGGAGCCCTTCAGCCGTCTCGCCGGTATTCCCACTCCAGAGCTCGCACGCCGCGGCAAGGCACGCGTCGCTGAGCACTACAACCAGCTGGGCCTCGTTCAAGCCGCCACGCGGCGGGACTTGCTCGAGCACCACCAGGTGAAGCAGGCTGACCCCTCGAGTTTCGCTCCGCCTTCCTACCTCTTGGGAGGCTCGTAGAAGGACCTTCGACAGCTTCCGACGGCCACCGTGAAACTTGCTGGCAGGCTCTGGCATCTGCACGGTGCCGATTATTCTTGTCTGGGGTGTGTGGGCGGACATTCCCAGGGGTCCCTGGAAAACAACGGGCGAAAAACGTGTCCGATTCCGCGGCCTCGCTGGTTGGCCCCAGGGCCGCGACCCCGCGGATACGGGGCGTTTTTTTGGCGGATGCCCCGCGCGGAACGTAGCCGTGCGACCCTGTATCCGCGGGATCTTGCCCCCGAGTCCAGATCGCGAGGGCGAAGAGAAAGATATGTTCGCCGCTCTGTCTCCACACCTGTGCGCGGGGCGTTGGTTGAAGAATACGCCCAGGATGTTTCAGACCATGGGGTACTGTACTCCTCATCTGATGAGGGGGGCGGTGATACGCACGGCCAATCCACGATTGGAGTTCCGCTTGCGTCCGGAGCCTGGATTCCTTATCCCGTGGCCGCTGGCGCCCCCGTGCGGGGCGCGGCCGCCCCGCCGCAGCCAGCAGGACAGGCGGCCGCCCCTGCTGCTGCCGCCGCCCCAGCAGCAGGCGCTGCGCCTGGTGCAGGGTCCCCCCCAGCGGCCGCCGTGGAGAGCCGAGCGGCAGACGAGGCGGCCCGACAGCGCGCTGCCGACCAAAAGGCTGCTGCGGCGGCCCCTCCTCCTGCTGCTGGCGCTGCTGCTGGCAGCGGCCAGGCCCGCGGGTAGCACCCTGCTGCCAGGCGGCGGCCCCGTAAGCGCGGCGCCGCCCGTCCCAGACGGGGCTGAGGAGGCAGAGGCGGCGGCGCCCAACCGCCCCGCGGCGAAGGCGGCGCCGAGCGGCGGCATGCACGCCTACCTGGCGGCCAACGTCGAGGCCGACGCTGGGGAAGGGCTTCCTTTCACTGGGCCGCTGCTGCGCCAGGACAGACGCTCCGACGATGCGCGCCATGGTTCCAAGTTCAAGGCGCTCAGTAGCAGGTCAGAGCCAAGCGCTGCGGCGGACTTGGATGGGCCCGACCGAAGGACTGGCAGTCCTCAGCCCAGCCAGGGGCCCATACGGATTAGTGGGTACCCATTTCAAGTTGGCGAGGCTAAGGGCGAGGGCGTGAGACCCCCTGAGGTTCGGAGCCCCAAGGCGGCGGGCAGCCGCCCGCCTGGCGGCCGCGCGGGCGCCGCGGCAGCCGCGAAGCCTGCAGCCCAGCCCCAGCCAGGGCGACCGCAGGCCAAGCCCCTCCAGCTGGCCAAGCTGCAGCGCACGGAGGCTGTCAGGAAGCTTAGCCCCCTCACCAAGTGCTGGCGCTGCCTCGGGAGGATCGCCAGGCAGCTCAGTGCGGCTGCTGCCGTCAGCTCACCCCCTGAGGGGCACGGGGGCTACATGAAGCACCTGGTGCAGGTGGCCAAGAGCTTGGGGCCCAAGTTCGAGCAGGCGGGCTGCTCCATGTTTGAAGGCACTAAGCTGGACTCGCTGACTGTGGTGATCCAAGAGCCCTCTGTGCAAGGGCAGGCCTTCCTGCAGATGATCGAGAGCGCGGCGGCGAGACTCTGCAAAGAAGAAGCCAAGGCGGCCAGGCTGCGCTGGATGGACTACGTGGACGTGGCCTCGACGAAAGGGCCATATCCGCATAGAGTGGAAGGCCCTCTGGAAAGGAGCCGATAGGGAGCACAGGACCAGACCAGCCGATTGGATCTGCTCCATGGTGCTGCCCCCGTTCACGGTGGGCGACAGCCTCGAGGCGGCGAAGTCGCTCCCGAAACAGACCGCTCTGGGCTGGGATGCGGTCCACCCGCGGCTGGTCCTCTCCCAGGGCAGGCCCTTCGCCGATGTGATGGCAGAGGTGCTCACGGCTTGGGTGTTGCAGCCGCAGCCCACGGCCCTCTTCACCACGGTGTTCCTCTTCCTGGGGAAGCCAGACGGAGGCCGCCGCCCGATCGGCCTCATGGGCAAGTGGTTGCGCATCTGGTGCAGGGTGCGCCGCCGCTACGGTGTCAAGTGGGAGAAGGACCACCAGCCCACTTTGGTCTGGGGCAAGGATGCGAACAGCGGTGACATGGCGGTCTACCCACACAACCTGTGTCTCGCGCTCGCCCGCCAGCTTGGCCTTGGGGCAGCCTCAGTCTATCTCGACGGCAAGTTCTACGCGCGGACCGACCACGACCGTTTCAAGCGAACTGCCGAGTTGGTGAGCTTGATAGACCACCGCTACGAGGAGCTCTTCTGCCAGGACCTCTTCGTCGGCGCCCAGTACCAGGTGCAGAGGCCGCGCTGTGACCCTGGCGGGGAGCGCCGCTCGCGCGGCTGGGACGCGGGCGCGCTCGTGGTGCCCGCGGGCACCCTCGTCTTCACGGACGGCTCCTGCGTCAACAACGACCTGATGATCAGGAGCGCGGTCTGGTCGGTGGCGGTTCTCACGACCGTTGGCGAGTGGGTGGTGCAGGCGAGGGGTGCGGCGCCGTCTGCCCTGCAGCTCATCCCCTCCCGTTCGCGGGCGGCCATCGAGCGGGGCGACCTCATGGAGGTGGAGCTCTTCGGCAACCGCCTCGTGGGCCAGCTCGCGAAGGCGGGCGCGGCGATGCACGCCATCGCCGACGAGGAGGCCCGCCTGCTCCAGGGCTGCCAGGCCCGCGCCCGCTTCACGGCGCGCTTCGCCGCCGAGTTCGAGGTCCAGGACACGGAGTCGGGCTTGCGGGACCTCACCCCCTACATTGCGGCGGAGCTCGACGGCGAGGCCGACCCCCTGTTCGCCGCCGCGGCGGAGCCCGCCCCTGGGACAGGTGGATTCAGCCCGCCGAAGTCGCAGTCCCAGGGGCGCGGCCAGTTCGGGAAGAAGCACGACGTGGAGGTGCGCGCGGCTGGCATCGCGGAGCTGGACGCGCTGTTGGCTGCTCCTGACGGCGCGGCGCTGGTGCGCGGCAGCGGCATCTCGGAACCCGCCGAGCTCCCCGAGGGCCGCGAGGCAGCCGCCGCTGTCGGGCACGCCGCTGGCGGAGGCCCTGGGCAGCCGCCGCGGCCTGCAGACAGCAGCCTGCCGCCCCCAGCTGCCCCCTTGGTGCGCCGCCCGCGGCAGGTTCGCCAGGCGCCGCGCGACGCGGAGCACGTCGCGCTGTATGGCGATGGCAACGGGAAGGAGATCGACGCGGAGCTTTGCGGTGGCTACGCCGAGGCGCAGGCCTCGGCGGCTGATGGCGGCCCCCTCCTCGCCACGGCGGCGGCCCTGGCAGCGGTGGCGGCTGCTGGCGCCTCCAGCTCGCGCCCTTCGCCCATGAGGCGCCGCCCCGCCTCGGCCGAGTCGCCCGCGGATGCCCTGCGACGTGTCGCCCAGCGCAGGGCGCAGGTGCAGCCGAGGCGCCGCGAGGCCTCAGCCCCCGCGCCCTTCCCGCGCCTGTCGGCGGCGGAGGCGGCGAGCAGCGGGCCAGCCACTGCGGAGGCGGCTGATGCAGCCCGTCCAGCGGGATGGAGGGTCAACGGCCACCTCCTCATGGAGTCGAGAGTCGAAGGAGACGACTCCGAGCCCTTCTTGGTCTGCGCGGCTTGCTGGATGTACTGCCGCCTCCCCAGGTACGCGCACCGCGGCCTGGGCAAGCAGTGCGGGGCCAGCGCGGCGGCTGGGCAGCCCAAGTGCAAGATCCAGAGCCCAGGCGCGGTCGGACTTCGCTCGCGGCATCCTGCCAGCGTCGAAGGAGCCGATCGCGCCGCTGGCCTCGCCAACGGAGTGCACGCGCCGGCGCTGGGCGGCGGCGCTCCAGGCCAGGCGGGGCCACGGCGCGGAGGGGCAGGCGCTCGTGGCAACGCGCAGCGGCTGCCAGCAGCCGCCCAGCCCCCACCGCCTGCGGCTGGCGCTGGGAGCCAGGCGGCTGCGCCGCCGAGCGCCGCGGCTACGCGGCGGTTGGCCGCGGCGGCCCCGCGGGAGGAGGCCGCCGAGCCGCGGCGGTCCCGCCCTGGGTTCGAGGGTGTACGTGGAGCCCACGGCTTCGCGGGCGCTGCGGCGGCCCGCGAGCGCGGGCGAGCCGCGACGGCAGCGGCCGCCCGCGCAGGCCGCGCGGGGACGCGCGCCGCGGGCTGAGGCGGCCTCGGCAGGCGGCTGTAAGCGCCCGCGCGGCCCTCCGCCTCTCCGCCTTGAATTTATGCAAGAATCCGCCGAGCCCGCTCGGCGCCCGCACAGATAAAAAAAACGCCCTCACAGTAGTTCTGTCCTTAGTTGATGTTAGGAAACGCATTCCATATATATATATATATATATATCACATTCGTAGATCTGTTTTTAATAAACAACTGCTTGGTTTTCGGCCAAACCAAGCGGGGAAATCCACGGCAGTCAGAAAACAAAGCAAAAAGGGCAGTCCAAACCGGAATCGAACGGACAATGGTGCGAGAACCCCAGAGCGGAAAACAGTGCGGACCCCCAGACGGGCAGACGCGCCGACCTGGTCAGCGGGAAAGCAGCCTCAGACACCAGGGCGTGCTGTGGGGCTGGCCCGCGGCACGCCCGCCCTGTGTTGCCCGTCTGGAACCCTCGCTCGCGGCGCGGGGTGCCGAGGTCCCATCTCCCGCGGCGCCCGTGGGGCCTCCAGAGCTGCCCGCCCACCCCCGCCTGCCTTGCCCGTGAAGCGCGTTGTTCGGGGGGCCACATTCTAGGCGTCCTCCTCCTCCTCCTCCTCCTCCTGGTCCTCCTCCTCCTCCTCTTCCTCCTCCTCCTTCTCCTCCTCCTCCTCCCCCTCCTCGTCCCCCTCCTCCTCCTCCTTCCTCCTCCTCCTCCTCCTCCCTCCCTCTCCTCCTCCTCCTCCTTCTCCTCCTCCTCCTCTCCTCCTCTTCCTCCTCCTCCTCCTCCTCCTCCTCCTCCTCCTCCTCCTTCCTCCTCCTCCCTCCTCCTCCTCCTCCCTCCCTCCCTCCCTCCCTCCCTCCCTCCCTCCCTCCCCCCCTCCCCCTCCTCCTCCTCCTCCTCCTCCTCCTCCTCCCTCTCTCCTCCTCCTCCTCCTCCTCTCCCTCCTCCAACCCTCCTCCTCCTCCAACCCTCCTCCTCCTCCCGCCTCCTTCTCTCCCCCTCCTCCTCCTCCTCCTCCCTCCTCCCTCCTCCTCCTCCTCCTCCTCCTCCTCCTCCTCCTCCTCCTCCTCCCTCCTCCTCCTCCTCCTCCTCGTCCTCTTCCTCCTGGATGGGGTCGGAGCAGATGGGGTCGGAGGATTGCGCCGCAGCGCAGATGCATCGCCAGTGCGTATCGGTGCGGAGCCCGATTGGCTTCACGTCGACGTCGCCGATGTCTCGCCCGCGTCGACGATGCCATCGCTGGTGCATCGACGATGCATCGCCGATGCACCGCTGATGCATCGGCGACGCATCGGCGATGCGGCGCGATCCTCCGACCCCATCTACTCCGACCCAATGTAGCAGGCCTCTAAACATCGGCGACTACAAAGGGTGTGGTTACGCAGGGGTGTGGTTTGCGAGCTGCTTGGGCTTGCGGGGCATCACGTTGCCCTCGTCGGGCCTCCTCGGGGCGCGGCGGAGAACTCTGCCGAGGTCCTCGCCCGCCCCCCGTGGTGCGGGTTGCAAGCCGCGCCGTTTGCAAACCACACCCTTCGGAGTCGTCGACAAAACCGTCTCAACGACGCGCCGCGTTGAGGAGCCCATCAGCGTGTAATGTTGAGGAAACGCCAGGCTCTCGGACAAAAGCGAAGGTGTGATACGCTGACGGGCTGCCAACGTCAGCGTGCCGTCGATAATCTTTCTCCCTCACGAGTTGAGGATTGAGGTTCTGGCTTCATGGGACCTTGTAACAAGGCGTCCCGGGCATGCGTCTAAGCGATGCGGACACCGACAACGATACAGCCAAGACGCTCTGGTTTTCGGGCCGTTCCTTCGAGCTCCGTCGGGGAACCTACTCGTCGCTTCATTTTGTTAGCGCGATGACTGTAGGGGGCCAAGGAGAGGGCCCACAACTCGAAACAGGGCCCGGCCTTGGGCCCAGCAGTGGAGAATTTGGGCTGGCTTGTGAAGCAGAGCTTCGTCAGATGTCTTGGGGTGGCGAAGGCAGTTTGTGTCTCATGGACACCACCAGTCCACAGGTCAGTCCTGGTAAGCTACACTGCCACAATCAGCGCTTGCAACAGAGGTGGCCAGTGGTGGCATGCAATGGCATTACTGAGGGAAATAGAGAAGGTGAAGTTGGAGCTGGATGCAAGCTGCTATACTGCCGGAATCATCGCGTGCGGGACGCGGTGGCAGCACGCAGTGGTTCTGATGGTGGAAATGCTAGGAGAGAGACTGGGCCCGAACACCCAAAGCTGCAACGCCTGCATCAGTGCCTGCGCGATATGTGGGCAGTGGCGGGTGGCACTGTCGCTGCTGAGGGAGATGACTGACGTGACGGTGGAGCCTGACATCGTGAGCTACAGCGGTGCATCCCTCGCGTGCGAGAAAGGGGCGCAGGGCCTGCGCGCGCTGTCGCTGCTCCGCGAGCTGCGCGACGCGGAAGTGGAGCCCGGCGTCGTCGTCTGCAGCTCGGTGATCAATGCTTGCGACAGGTGCGGGCAGTGGCGGCCGGCGTGGCCCCTGCTGCCGGCGCTCGGGGCGGCGGGCACAGCGCCGCTCGGCGCCCAGCCTCGGTGTGGGAGGTGGTGCACCTGAGGCGGAGCCAGTCGTGGGATGGCGAGTTGCGGGGCGAGAGGCTGGAGCCGAGTGTCGCTGTCGATAGTCTGTGGGCCGGTGCGTGCGAGAGACGCTGGCGGTCGCTGCTGCTGCTGGCGCCACCCATGGGATGCGGGGAGGTGATGCTGGGCTCGGACGGACCTTCTCGCGGAGTTGCGGTGTCTGGGCGAGCTCTTGTAAGGAAGGTGAGCTTGCAGCGGGCGCTGTTGTATTTAGGCGAACTGTTGGACTCGGAGTTGGAATGTGGGGTCGAGCGTCCTGGTCATCAGCCGCTGGTTCTGAGACCAGCACGTTCGAGAGAAGATGGAAGTTGCAGAAAGTTATGTCCTTGTCATTTGATGAAGAGCGTGGAGGTCACGCTGCAGCTGGACGAACCTTCTCGCACAACCTCGGTGCCAGAACGAGCGCGGCGCGAGATGCAATCGAATGCCCCCGTCAGTTTGCTCGTTCTCGTGGCCAGTGTCCGCAGGTTTCCATCGCCACCCCGAGACGGTCGTCTGGCCTGTAATCAGGACTCCAGCTTTGTCTGTTAAGCTCAAGTTCCATGCCGGAAACTCAAATTCTTGACGCTTCGCGTATCCCATAGCCCAAAAAACAAAGCAGTTACCAGGCGAGTTGTTATGATCGTGGATGTGCAGCATCATGCAATCACGCTCTGGGAGCCTCTTGGAGGCATCTTGGGTAGGCCCCAGGGGAGGCTCTAGACATGTACACGACCAGGTTTAAGTCGGGCCTGTCCCTCTACAGCAGGAATATTCAAAAATAGTTTAAACATAGTCGGGGGATCATTTATGTTTTGTTGAGTATGTTTGAACATTTTGAGGGTATTTTTTTTTGACTATTTCCAATTTTCCGCCCAAAATCCCCCTGTAGGGGGACATGCCCGACCTAAGACCAGGTCTGGGAACGGAATTTACTTTCTGGGCGCTCGAGTGGCTCTGGGCATGCCTCAGGCACTGCCCTGGGGCTTGTGTTCCCAGCAGGTTTCCGGGCAGGCCCTGGGCAGAGCTCAGCTCCTCGTCGTCCTCCGCCGCCTGGTCGCCATCTTTCTCCTCCCCTGACTTCCCTTTTTTTTTTTTTTTTTTTTTTTTTTTTCTCCTCCTCCTCCTCTTCCTTCTCATATCAGCCACTGTCCTCCGCATAATCCTCCTCGTCCTCTTCTCGTTCCCTCTCGTTATCCCTCTCAGGCGTTTCGTGCCATTTCGTTTCGGCACTTCGTTTACAGCGTTTTGTTTCGCGCCTGGTGTTTGCGTATACCGTCCCGTTGCGTTTCGTTTCGGCGGTGGGACGTCTCGTTACGTGCCGTTTCGAGACGGCGCGTTTCTCGTTTCGTGTTGCGTTTCGTATCCTTCCTGGTAATGTCAGGCAGTCTTCGCTTGGATGCGGGGTCCCGACATGCAGCTCAGAAAAGGTCAAAAGTTCCTCGTCCTCCTTCATCCTCCTCCTTTTCCTTCTCCTCGCTCCTCATTCCTCCTCCTACTCAGTCCGCATGTCTATGACTCCCAGGAAGAACCGGTAAGTATTGTTTCCAACCGGGTGTTTGTTGCAAGAGAACAGCGTTGCCTATTCGACAACTGCGGACGCTGGTGCTAAGGATGGTAGGACGTTAAGTCGTATCGTGTGGCTCCTCCATGCCCCCAATTCCTCCTCGCCCCTCCCTCCTCACTCCTCCCCGCCCCTCGTCGTCGTCGTCCTCCTCCTCCTCCTCCTCCTCCTTCTCTTACCTCCTGGTACTCCTACTGCCTCGTGTCTCTCTTTCTTTACCGATCTTTCTCTCTCTATCTCTCGCTCTTTCTCTCCCTCTTTCTCTATCTCTCTCTTTCTCTTTCTCTATCTGTCTCTCTCTCTTTCTCTCTCTCTCTCTCTTTCGCTCTCTCTGTCTCTTTCCCACTCACCCTTCCTCTCCTCTCTCCCTCTCTCCGTATCTACATGTGGATACGTATGCCTTTTTTCCTTCCTTATGTCCCTTTCTCTTTGCCCTGTACGCGTGCATGTGCACATCTGTGTGTGTGTGGCGTTTCATAAGGGGCCCCGCTTTCGAGGGCCGAAGGAGTTGACATCGCTTCCTCGGCGGAAGGCGCCGGAAGATCTTCGGAATGCGGCGGAATCAACACGAAGCTACCTCCGCCGAAGGAAGCCGCCAGAAGTAAACATTGCCTTCCTTTTTCCCCAATGGGCTTGCCTAATGGGTTCTTACTTACAGGTTGGTACCTCGTATTCTTACGTTGCCCCTTGCTCGGAGGTTCCCTGGGTTCCTCGGGTTCCCCTGGTTCCTGGCCCTCGGTGCCTCCGATTCTTACGTTGCCTGTTGCTCGGAGGTTCCCCAGGTTCCTCGGTTCCTTGGGTTCCTCGGGTTCCCCGCCCCCAGTGGCTCTTATTGTTTCGTGGCCCGTTGCCCGGAGGTTCCTGGGGTTCCCCGGGTTCCTGGGGTTCTCCGGGTTCCTCGGGTTCCCCGGATCCCCCAGGTTCCCCGCCGCCGGCGCCTCGTATTCCTTCGGTGCCCGTTCCAGGCAATGCCGAGCATTGCCAAGCAGTGCCAGGCAATGCCAAGCAATGCCAAGCGTTGCGCCCATATAGGAAGCTTTTCCCCAACGGAGGCCGCGCTGGGTTCCTTGCACGTCGTAGCGCGGCAGAGGCAATCTGCTCGCGCGATCCGGTGGGCCGGGCTCGGACACGGCACTCCTTGTCCGGCTGCAAAAAATTAGAGAATATGGGCCCAGAAAATATGGGAAAATATGGGGAATCCTTTTATTTGTGTCTGTTTATTTGTGTGTCCCAGGGCCCCTTCAGAGGAGCACACCAACGCCGCGAAGAACAACATCGTGGACGGCGGGTGCGGCCAGCCAGTGCTGCGGCACCCTGGCAGTGGACGCGGTGCGGCATCAGGGCCACGCCCAGGGGCGGAGGCAGAGGCTGCAGGCGTGAAAACGTGGAGCAGGGTCTCTTGTGAGCCAAGATTATAGGGTCTCTTGAACCCGCCATATCTATATACACATATATATATATACATGTATGTATATGTATATATGTGTATATATATATATATATTACACTGTTCTCAACGTCTGTAGTGCTGTCGCTCATCGGCCTCCCGTGAGTGTTGAATGTTCTGCCAAGCGCCCTTCACCGTCGTGGGCGCTTTGGCTCAAGTCTTAATTGGCGGCTCGCGCCGCCGTATGAGCAGTTCAGAGAAGGCACACTTCGCCTGGGTGATAGCCCGAGATATCTTCAGTTACTGGAGTCGGCCAGAGCCGACCACCTGCACGTGCCAGTGTCCAGAAGTCACGCTCTCTTGTCCCAGCGCAGAGTGCAGCAGTCATTTGGAAGTGATACGTGATCTATCGTACGAGCAAGTGCGACAGGCAACCGGCACCAGGTGCCCAGTGTGTGAGGACGTGTCGTGTGTGCCCTTTCCTTGGACGCTCATCCTCGTGCTGATCGCCCTCATCCCGACCGTCGGGTTCGTGGGCTTCCTCGTGGGCAGCGGCATCTCACGGTGCAAGCGGACGACCGAGGCCACCTCGGAGACCACCTCGGCAGGCGGGAGACGGTCCTTCGGGCCTTTCACGCCGGCCACCCTCGCAGCTCTTGAGCGCTAGCCATGGCGGCCGCTGCAGCCGCCGCACACCGAGCCCTGGATATACCAGAAAAACAGGTGCTCATCAATTTTGACGATGATGCCAACGGCCTGCGCTGGCATCACCGAATACTTCTCATCAAGGGTGGAGACGGACGTTGGGTGGTCGCGACCCCGACATGGAGTATCCAGCTGGCCGACCTGTCGAGACACCACATCAGAGTGCTGCGACGGGGGATGCCGGTGGAGCGGGACTACCTGCCGGAGGCATTCCTGTTCGACCCGAGCGCCTCCGATGCAGAGCTGGCGCGGGCTCGGGCTGAGGCCCTCGAGTTGGCTGAGATCGCTGGGTTCGACCTGTCGGCGGTGCAGGCTCAGGGTGGTGGCGCCGCGCCTGCCCAAGAGGCGGCCTGGCGAGTCGCCGATCCTGCGTCCCCGGCCTTCGGGGAGGAGGTGCCCGTCGGAGCGATGCGGGACCAGGAGGCCTCGGTCATCAAGGGTGACGTCGCTCTCCTCAGGCTCGACGGGAAGTGGACCTTCGCCGAGAAGGTCGTCCCCTCCGAGCACGAGGCATGGCTCAGAGAGAAGCGAGTCGGGCCTGGGCGTGACCCTCGGCTGCTGGCCGACACCAGGGACAAGTCCTCTCAGAGGTTCCTGGACGCCGAGACCGCGCTCAAGATGATGCGCTTGGTGAAGCAACCCCTCCCGACGTTGGACGGGCCGCCGGCTCTGGACGAGTACGCGGAGGGGCTCACTCGGGTGGGGTTCAATTTCGTGACGCACAACCTCGACTGGGAGGCCAAGAGCGGGGTCGCGCCGAAGGGCGCCGTCGCCCGCGAGCACAAGTTCGTGAGCTCGTGGCTCTATCTCATGCTCACGACCGACCAGCTGGACATCAGCAACCTTCTCTCGGCTGAGCTTGCCGCCCGGCGACTGATCCAGATCGAGAGTGCGGTTCGGCGCAACCCGAAGGCGCCGGACTTCGAGGGACTCGACATGGTGATGGCGGCGCCGATCGGGCCGGGCGGAGAGGTGATGACTCGGGAGTTCACGAGGTGGATCGCGGAGAGGCAGAAGGACGAGGGCTTCTTGTTGAAGCAACAGAGGCTGTGGCGCGAGGAGCGCGCAGCCGACGACAAGCGGCAGAGGGACGGCAAGACCGGCGGGAAGTCGGAGCACGGTCCCAATGCCGGCGACAAGAAGTAGTATGCATGGGCCTCCCCCTGGTGATGCGGCGCCTCGCGGCCCGAGAGGCTCGCCGCAGAGGATCCAGGGGGCTTTCTCGGGCTCGCAGCTCGGGCGCCGCCAGCACGGTGACCCGCTGCCAGTTTTGGTACCTCCTCAAGGGCGACTTGACGCCCTACGTGACCACCGACGTTATCTACAGCAGCGGCTTCGGCGT